AATATATTCTAAACTTTGGTGTCATTTTCTGAAAGGATATATGTGTAAAATACTCTTTGTATTCAAGCGCTTTCGTGTAGACGAGGATTTCGTTGCAGAATCCCAACCACCACAAAGCACCACTGAAGAAACCCCACCAGACAGCAACCCAAACATTCCCATCATCCATAGTTAATAAATGAGAGGGTTTGGAAGGCCGGGTCACGTGACAAAATAACTTATTGTTCTCGGTCACGTGGAACTTATAGTGCATGCTTCGAGGTGTTTACATATACGATAGTATAAGAGTTTAAGCCAAACAGAGCCTAAAAACATTAAATTTCATTGAATTTTCCGCGATGCCGGGAGCGAATTGCTCCATATCGGCTGTGGTACATGTCGAAATAGTGCTGGAGTTGGAATTTTTCGGATCCCTTCAGGAAAAGACGCATTATCAACGAAAACTCGTGAAGCGTGGAGCAACATAATTACAAAGGACCGCGTAGTGGATGAAAATTTGCGAAGGCAAATCAAAAATGGGACGTTGTATGTTTGCGAGAAGCACTTCAAGAAAGAGGAATATGAAATGTACTTATTTAGACATTATTCTTAAGACTTTATAGTTTAATAATAAGACTTTACAGTGTAAGTCTCAGGCTTTTTACACTTTGTTTATGCTGTCCCCGGAGCCCATCGTTGTGTGGTACGAGATTGGCTGATTTTATTGTTAATTTTCTTCTGATAAATAGGAATTTGCCAATTAGTTAACTTAAGAATGACATGAGTGTTCTTACTGTGTATGTATCTATTTATTTTCTGAAAATTTGTCATTTATCAAAAGTAGGTGGAGCAAAAATTGCTGCAATAGTGTTATTAATTCCACAGCCAAGCTAGAAGTGCAATGTAATTTGTATTATGCTCAAATCATACACTACACAATGTATGTTTAATTAAGCCACAATGCTCCTACTTTATCGTTTTAACATTTGTCTGATGCCATATGATTTTAACTCTTTAAGCTGCAATGCTTAATATGCACTGCCCTTGATGTGTAAAATTGTCTGATGATAGACACTGACAGAGTAAAAGAATAAAAGAGCACATTGAGATATGTTAGCCTATTATCTCCAATTAGCTTATTTAAACTGCATGACTAAATTTGGCTGAACATTACATAATTGAGAGAAAGTAGTTTAAGCTGTGTGTATATATTTATATATTGTTGTTATTACTATGTGTTGATGAAAAGATTACACATAAAAATATGAGGATAATTCATTGATACAGTATCATATTTACATTTAATATCATTGATATAACGTTATTGTATTATGTACCTGACTATTTCTTTTCTTCACTGGCAATCTTCAAGCAGAGACGGATTTTCATATTTTCGTTCGGGGTGTGTGGATAAATATCTGGGGGGGGGGGGTGCTGTTTGCTTTGAAAGGCCGGGGCCTGGTGGCAACACCCGGAAAGGCCAAGGAAAAAGTTTAACACAATTTGTTTTCTAGGCCTGCATGGTGAGATCTGATCATCTGAGACCATAATATTGGTAATTTTACAAATTTAGTAAGAATAATCAAATATGAAACTATCAAATCAAAATATATATAATTTGCGGGAGTGCCAAGACTTTTGGGGGCGGTGCCAAATGCCTCTGGAGGGTGCAAATCATTTCTGGGGGGGGGGGTTCCCACCCCCGGAAAATCTGTGCCTGTCTTCAAGTCTTTTCATAAAGCTTTCTTTTTCTGTGTACCCTGACTTATCTTATATTTATTTACAATATCCTTAGCAAAGGAAAACATCTTACAGTTACATATAATTTGACTGAACATTCTCTAAACATAAAGATTGACATTCCATGGAAGTTTCTACATCACAGTTTTGAATAATGTTGCACCACAAGTTTGTCACAAGAGGAGAAGTTAGGACTTCATTCACAATTGTGTCTACTGGTAGACAGTAACCTTGTCTTTATTTGATGTGTGTTTTAAATATTAACTCTGACACCTTGCAATGCTTACAATCCATGAGTGTGGTGACCAAAGTCCACCCCTCAACAAGGATGAAATGTATTTATTGGCCTCTGTGTCCTGTCGCATTGATGACATCGAGGCTTGGACTTCTTTGTTCCAGGAAGAATTGCTCCTATAACAGTTCTTGCTTCTCTGGTATAAAGATCTTATCACATATCCAGTCAAATATGATAATGGTCCAAGCTCCTGAGGTGACAAAGACAATTCTTCCTAAAATTCAAACAAGAATCTATGATTAATTATTCTAATTACATTTGGTTGGCTCTGAGAGTGAGACTGCCCTTTGGTGGCACAGAAATATTATCTTAGATGCTTCCCTTGACAGGTAAAATCGCCTGGCGTTAAACAGAGTAAATACTAAAGTAGGGCATACGTTATACAGTTTTTCGTCAACCAACTGAACCAAGTGTGGACCGATATCACGTATTAATTCGGCAACTTTTTCTACTAATATCACTGTTTGAAATGTAGAAGATCCCTCACCGAATTCTGCAACATGTTTCATACTGCGTCGCGGTGTCTTGTCAGGCCACCTTTGGATTTGCAAACTTTCTCACAGAAACTGCAAATCTGCAAGGAAACTGTTTCTTTCCTTCAATCTAGAGACGATGTATTGAAAGGGAAAATATTCATTAGGTAAATATCTATGTTTACAGTAATATATGTATAAAAATCATCGTCTAAATTTTATATTTCATACCTCTTCAAGCGCCTGTTGAACTTCAATCTGAACTTCATCCACGTCCATCTCGAGAAGCGCAGTTGTTTACTCTAAATCGTCCTCAAAGGTGAACAAGAGCTTTCTAAACGCTCAGTATCAATTTCCTCATCTATTTCCATGATTCCAAACCTTAAACGTGCGTTTTCAACGACCATTTCGAACGGCTTTAGCAGTATGACTTCGCTTCAATTGAAATTGATACTATACACAGCGTCAGCAATTTGGGTTATCACACATAAAAACGTCTCAAAAGTTGCCACTTACGATGGAGATTTGCGATAAAACCTCGTATTCCACCCAAACCTCGTATAACGAGCGAAAATTAAAGATTTCTAAGTTGTCAATAGGGAATTGTATTATAGAATCACGCCATGATGCACTATAACTGTCACGTGATGCCCTCTATCGAGTTCAGCTCACGAAAGGGGGCGTTATCCTTTGAAGTTTGCCGGCCTTCCAAACCCTCTCATTATATTAACTATGCTCACACGCACTTGTGTTACGTAATACTTGGCCAATAAGGAGCTCCCTTTAGCCGGGATGACGTCAAACTCACACGTATGGGTGCACTTTGACCTGTAGAATCCATTTCTGGCATTTCCAGAGTCACGCGATGCAAGCGTCGCATTATTTTGACGGTTTTTCGTCGTATTTCCGGTTGGGATTAACGCATATTCGGAGCAGAAATACAAAATTCGGCACTAAATGTCGAATTTTAAAGATAGAAGCTTGAAAATAACACTATACGTGTTATTTTTAACTGCTTCATGCAGCAAGAGTATCAGAATGAGCATACGTCTCAATGGGACGAAGTTATATTCGGCGAAAGGTATGTTTATGTTTATAATTTGTCAGTAATATTGCGTAATTTGATCATATACGAGCTCGTTTTAATTTCAAAGCTCATAAATCGCTATAATGTTGCCATTCACTAAATCTATCGATAGGAATGAGTAGCTATCGTTACACTGAATCGAATGGTGGTATTTTGGTCCACGTAGCATTTACCGAACTGAAGATATGAACCGCAAAAATGATAAATCATGAATGATTTGTTTAATTGGGAGCTGTCGAGAAAGAGTTAAGAACTAGTTTGGTTCAAAAACCATACCTCGTCGCATTATCTAGCAGAGCCTCCCCAACTTCATTTCAATCTTCCCATCACACAGCGCGCGCTCACTTTTATTCAGGAAACTTCATGTAAGTTATTTGTAAATACTTAAGGAGGCTCTGCGGAGGAGAGAGTACTCAATACTGTACCTGTACTTGTTCCTGGGCAGATGTAGGCCTTATTATCTCTTGAAATAAACAAATTATAATTTGCATCGCTCTCTTGCGAAATATAAAGCTGTCAGAGGAGGATACCTTTTTTAAATGCACGCTGACAATGCGTTAATATGTTGTCTATTTCCTGAAGCTTCGGTGGTTTCTTGCTGCAAAAAAGTCCAAGACCAAGATGTTTCTTGGCCTGAAAACTCCTTCGGTTTCTTGGTCGTGCTCTGTTAAAAACAGTGGTTGCCGACTTAATGGGTTCAAGTCCTCTTGAAATGCGACTGCTGTTGGCCAGTTTTTTTAAAATCTCTCTTTTTACACGTCGACCAGTATGCATCACTGCATCATGTCTGCGGCCATGAGCAGTGGATTTCTGTTCGATGCACTCTAATATAAATTTCTCATTTCTTCATATCCAATGCTTGAGGAGGTCTTCCGGAACTGGCTTTTCGCATCCCAACACGGTTTTCCACTACAATTTTATTTTATTTGCGTGAGACCATCTCTGCAAAACTTTTCGAGTTATCTTTCTCATGTACGTATTTCTCATACGTTTTCTTCCTTTCTTCAAGATCATCTATTTGTTCAGCTAATTCGTCTAGTTTGCTCTGGCTCCAAATTTTGGATTTAATTTCCAATTTATTTTTCTGGCAGCTAATATTTTTTTCAATCTTGCCAATTCTTGTAGTGAGATCTTCTAGCACAACAGCTTTTGCCTTTAACCTCAGTTCTTTCTTTGCCTCTATGGTACTCAATACCTGTCGTCTATACTTGCTTACTCTCAAGCCGATTCCAAGTTCTGAATTTTGCTTTTTGCAATGTCCAGTCCCTAGCACAACCTTCATAACTTTCTTATCCCATGCGGTATCCAAGCTGTCAATCATGTAATCAATTTCGTCATTGGATAGGCTGCTATGAGCTTGATTTTCTTCATCAGAAAAAAAATCCTTAAAGAACAAGTCAAGGTTCACATCATGAGATTTTAAGAGGACATATTGTCGCTTTACAACATACACAGGAATTCCATGGTTTGGATGACAAATTAAGTCAATAAACCTTTTTTTCTGACCTCTGTCATTTACCATTGATGTAATTGCACCTGGATTGTAAGACAGGAAAAGCGCGAATGCTTCATCGAAATACATGTATGAAAGTCTAAATGTGTTCTGGGCTCTACCTTGAAGTTAAACGTTTGCCATTAACACAGTCTTGTAGTACGGCTTGCATGCCTCTCAAATTTTCGATATGTCGACTTGTTTCTAGCGCGATATTCTGCTTCTTTTGCATGTGAACAATCCTTTCTGCCAGGTAGGTTTCACAGTAGCTTGGTGAGCCCTTTTGTAGTGATGTCAAAATGTTGAGATCAAAAATTCTTGCAGAATCTCTAATTATTTCTGATCGAAGCTTATTCGTTTCCATATCAAAGTCACTGAAAAAGCAAACCGCTATGTGTGTGTGAAGATATTGACGTTTTAGGCTTACAGAATTAAACCTGTCAGATCGAGCAACATGCCATGATATACATTTCACGAGCTGCCCCGAGTCGGTTTGAAATATTGACCTTTGATCTTCATACTACAACTTGGAAATTGCAGCAGAAATCACAGTTCAGTCGTTCCTTCACAATAACAAACTTGGTCAGTATTTTGATCAGTTTGAAGAAAAAGGTTATGATGATATGCAACAGATATTATCAATCGCAAGTGACGATACTGAGCTATCAAGTTTATTGAAAGATGTTGGCCTTGAATCAAAACCGGGTCACAGAAAGAGATTTGTCGCTGCAATAAAAATTTTGACTTCGAAAAAGCACGGTGATTGTGATGATGACAGCAAGCGAGATGAAGGAAATCTTGGTTCTGTCGGAGAAAGTAGCAATAAGTTCTTGAAATGTGTGTGAGTTTGTAAATATTCTATTTTAATATTTATTTATCCACAGTCAAAACAGAAGAACCTTCCACTTCCGGTACTGTATAAATTTGTTTTGAATTTCAGAATTTTACAAACATTTTCTGTATTTCTGTATTAATAGTTAGTCAAAAACAATAAAATGCACAAAATGTGTTTGAAACTGTGTTAAAATGCACAACAAACTACGCTGTCGACGCACAAAGTGAACAGATTTACCAATCCCGGTCTCAATTTACAAACTCAGTTTTAATATAATTTGAAAATTGCTACAGAACGTGTTTTTGTAATTTTGAAATTCAAAACAAAGTTTATACAGAGCCGGAAGTGGAATGTCATAATATAATCGACATCGGTTCGGTGCATGCTTTAGAGACAAATATATTAAGACTATCAGTATAAAAATCCCACTCTCACAACACCGTTCGATTCAGCGTGAAGCGCCGTGATCTGCGTGACAAACCTATACATGTATATCCGTATATAGACGAGTGTAATTTTAATATTCGCGATTGTTTTGTGCTTGGTTTTGAAAATACTTTATTTATTATACCTGTATTAAAGACACGCAGCAAAACAAATGGCACTATTCGATTCAGCGTTCCCCGCAAAGATCTACCACGCACGCATCGATTTTTTATCTAGGTGCAAGGCAAGCATGCAACATAGCCATAGGTCGAATGGCTTAGATAATTATACGTAGCCGTAGGCACTGTATGTATACTATGCGATTTATGACCGATTACGACAAGCTATTTATAGTAATCTGGGGCCGGTTGTACGAAGCCGGTTTAACTTAAATTAAATGGTGGTTAAGCTCAAAATAGAAAGCAAGTCTATAGATTCATTGAACAATAAAACTAAACGTTTTTAACCTTAATAGAACGCCAATGCTTACAACTACATTTGTCGAGTTGTTAATGAAATTGCAACAAAACACTGAGAACCACGAACTACAATGTATAAGCATTTTACACGGTAAACCACGACATTTTACTGGCTAAACTAGAGTTATATGGCATTAAGAACACGCCTCTTATGCTTCTCAAATCTTACTTATCAGGTTGATCTCAGAAATGTCAAGTAAATGGGGGAACTTTCCACATTAAAATATCTAAAATATGGAGTTCCTCAGGGTTCAATTTTGGGTCCACTTTTGTTTTTAATTTATATCAATGATTTGCCGAATTGTTTACATCACTCTACAGCACGCATGTTCGCCGACGATACTAACATTACAGTGTCCGGTAAATCAATTAAGGAAGCTGAAGTGGCCGTTAATGCTGATCTCAATAATATCAGAGAATGGCTTCTATCGAACAGGCTCTCTCTTAACCTTGTCAAAACGGAATATCTTTTGATTGGATCACGCCACAATGTTAACATGTTAGAAGAACAACCGCGTGTTTTTATTGGAGATGAACCAATTAAAGGGGTTCAAGTTACAAAAACTCTTGGAGTCAAAATTGATCAATTTTTAACTTGGGACAGTCATATTGACCAAATTTCAAAAAAATGAAAAGATAATGGATTTCACTAATTCTGATACTTTGAAGTCGGTCTATTATGGTCTTGTCCAACCCCATTTTGACTACTGTTGTGAAGTTTGGAATTCCATTAATAGAGGCAGGTCTGAACGACTACAAAAACTTCCAACAGATGTGCTAGAATTATAACGAACTTTAAAGATGAGCCTGGGCAATCTCAACTGGCCCTCGATCAATTAGGGTGGATAAGCTTGGAAGAAAGGCGAAAACATATTATGGCTCGTCTCATGTTTAAGGTTGTCAATAATTTGGCACCATCAAGGTTCTCATCAATGTTCCAGAATTCTAACCATATCCACAGTTACAATTTACGAGGTTCAAATTCGTCTCTCTTTCTGCCACGACCAAATACCGAGTATGGCAGAAAATGTTTTCGATATAGTGGGGTTAAAATCTGGAATAGCATTCCTGAACAAGTAATAAACAGCGAATCTTTAAATTCTTTCAATAGAAATATTTCCTCTGTTAGTCTGACGAATTAGCTATTTGACTTTTGTATTCCATTTGTTTTGTAATATGCATTTGTATTCGTAGTTCTTAATATTCCTAGTGATTTTGTATTTTATATATTTTTGTAACATTTATCTACCTCCCACTTGGAAAGCAGCTCCGGTTGAAGTGGCCAGCGTAATCAAATAAAGTTTTGTCTTATCTTATCTTACGAACTATTTGTTTCATTGGAGATTAGAAGACCCGCTCGAGTCAGTAGCTGAAACGTTTTTTTTCGTACCCACCGAGTTACATGTGTTATGTGAAGGCGACGGGTGATCGATTTAGAAGTTTTGAGGCAGATCATAAGAAAGCTTATCAAGAACTCATGGAGAAAAAACTTTTAGAACAGCTTAATAAACAGTCTTAGTTGTAATTTTTTTACAATATCGTCTATTATTTGTATCAATAAACATGTTTTAAACTTTGCAAATATTGCGTTGTTATGTGTTGCTAAGTCATTAGGAGGCGTGTAGGTAATTAAGGGGATTAAGGCAATACGAATTTGCATAACTAAGTGTATCCCAATGGATAGATAGGGATTATTTATAACGCGGGTGTATGCCTTAAAATCGGGCGCGAGGCTTTGCGGGCAAAAATTTACAGTTTTTTCTTCAGAACCTTTTACAAAATTAAACTTCTAATATATATCGTCACTTGTTTGAGACGTTTCACTATCCGATTCGTCATCGTAGCTGCTTTCATAATCCGTTATCCATTTGGTAAGTCTTGGGGCTTCCAGTTTTTGCTTCTTGACAGATGATAGATTACTGCATTGACTTCGCCTTCTCTTGCGCCCATGCCCCGTTTGACGAAGAAGAGTCCTTGCTCCTTGCTCAGCAAAGTCTTTAACAACTTTTCCTCCGTGAGGTTCTACAGATTCTCTGACATTTTTTCCTTGGAGTACATTCTGACCAACTTCTGTGGCTACTTGCAATGCTCTTTGGCCAGCAATTTTATCACCTTGTTTGAATAGAGAGATAGCATATCTCGCAAGACTCTTGAAAATAGCTCCGATCCCATAACCTCTTTGCATACGTGCACCGCGATACCCAGCAATGTTTCGGCCACGTTGTTGTCTCAAGAAATGGTCTTTCAATAGTTTTTCCTCTACAACAAGTGTACCCCTTGGCATATTGATGTATTCAGTTCAACTTCACAAAGTGAACTGATCAAATATCACTTTATTCGTCTATTTTATGCTCAAAAAATGTCTTTTATCGGTACTAACATCCATAATTTCATCACAATGACAATGTGAGCAATTGGCGATTACATGGGTAACATTTCCTTCGGACAGTAGAAAATCACAGATCATACAGTGACACCTTGTACAATTGGGATAAAAATCTGTCCATGCGCATGCAGGGCATGTACCCAAATGGGAGATGTGTAAATCTTTGTTACAATCTTTGTTTGTATCCACGTTTTCAGACTTATCTTCGGATTTATCAGACTGTGTATTCACATGCTTGTGGGCTAGCATTGTAAGGACACGTCCATTTACGATTAAACTTTTATCAATTTCCAACTTTGCAAGACCTTTAAGAAATATATTCAGTCCAGCCGGTTCTGGAATTACAGTATTGTATGGTAAAACAGTACATTGCAAAAGATCTACAATATTTGTTCCACGTATATTCTGTCCTTTGTATACAATTTCTCCTTGAAGATTCCATGTGAGAATATCCGTGGATGTCAGAATGCAGTGAAGAAGTTCTTCAGCATTGTTTTTTATCAACATTATCGTTTAAGTGTCCAAGTATATCTTCAACGCGCCAATGTCTCGGAGTTGTTTTACTGTCGATGTTCATGGTTGGAATGACGATGTGAATTAATGACGATTATTTTATACTAATTCTGCAAGGCCCTCTAAAAGTGGCGCAAGTACCAACCCTAGAAAACCACTCCCGCGCTGAACAAGAATTTTCCTTTTCTTTCTAAAACTCCTACTGCTGTCCGCTAAGTTAGCGAGATCATCTTTAAATGATCCAAGTTTGTTCAATGATCCTTTAGGATATGTAAAGTTTTCCAAGCAATTACATAGAAAGCGAATCTGTTAAAAAGATGCTGAATTCAACAGAGCTTGCTGTTGAATTGGACGCGAAATACAGAAGAGCTCTACAAACGGTCTGTGTTTCATATAACTGCCAGTCATCTCTGTTCTGCGGTCAGGAACGGAATGAAGATTTAGTTGGAAATAACACATATATAAGGGTCAGCTCGCCCTATTTAGATTAGGTCTAGACAATAGTCTTAATACAGCCTAGACCTAGGCCTTCTATTTTTATTTTTTTTTAATATTCAGCGTTTTTTCACATGAAGAGACTGGGACTAGGTGATTTGGGGGCGTGGCGGAGGATGCGCAAGCGAAAAAATAAAAGACCTAGTGGATTTCCCAACAACAAGGCCAAAACTGCCCTGAAACTGCCCTGGTTGCGAAATGCCCAATTATTGCGTTCTCAAACAGAATTATTTGCAACTTAACAGCGAATTTAAACCGATACAGGTAAACTAAACTAATTTATATTATAAATTTACTATTTTTATTTGTATACACGCCTAAAATATCGGATTTTTTATCATAAAGTTTGAAGCAACACTATTATTATGTTGCGAATTAGGTCAAAATGAGTCAAAATATTACTACAAAATAGAACTTAGTTTAGTCATAAAATGTTTTTATAGTTAATTTAATAACTACTGGCAGTATAAATTGCTTTAGTTGTTGGTGTCAATTTCGGATCACAAAGTTATGGGGCTAATTTGAGAACTTGTGAAATCTACTAGGCCTTTACGAGGCAAATGACCATTGCGATAATTACCAGCCGAGTATAAAAGGCCTAGGTCTAGGCTGGTCTTAATAGTCTTTACTATAGTCTTAATAGCCATGACTATAGTCTACATAGTCATGACTATAGTCTTAATAGTATTTATTATAGTCTTAATAGTCTTT